GAACGAACCAATTGAATCCTTTCCTATCTGGTTCCAGCCTTAGGCCTAGGACAAATCTAGCATTGGTTACTCTAGTACGGGGGTGTGTCATACGCAGGCCACGGCCATTAGGGGTGGGATTCAAATTTCTTAACAACCGGTTATGTGGGAGTGGCCTAATTTGTGGGGTGTGGCTTGGTGGTCATATGACTGGGTGGACGTGGCTTGCTGATTGGGTGTGGCTAGGTGGTCATGTGACTGGGGTGGGTACTGAAAAAAGCGGCATGACCATTTTTCATACTTATGACCATTACAGCATCCCCATGGGCCTATGTTCAAAATTCACCTGCTTGGCAGCTGACTCATATTTATGACAGTTGCAGTGTCCCAGAGTCACCTTCTGAAAACCTCTGACAAGTCAAGTCCATGGGGAAGCCAGATTCACTTTAACAACCATGTTACTAATTTAACCACCGCAGCGATTTCCTTAACAGCAGTGGCAAGAAAGGTCATAAAAATGGGGCCAAAACTCACTTAACGAACATCTCACTTAGCAACATAAACTCAGGTCTCAATCATGGTCATAAATTGAGGACTACCTGCATGGATTTTTTTTTAAAAAAACAACAACATCTATTTTCACAGCTATAAGAAAATCTGACCTGGGGTGCTCACATTGCAGCCCTGGTCAAAGGGGCCCAGAAGAGATTATACGACCTGAGACTTCTCAGAAAACAACAACTGAATGAGAAACTGCTGGTGACCTTCTACCGCTGCATCATAGAGAACATTTTAACTTACTGCACCTCTGTATGGTTTGCCAATTGCACAGTGGCAGATAGGAAATCACTCCAGAGGGTTAATGTCCAGAAAATCATTGGTTGCCCTCTCCTCTCTTTGGAAGAGCTTTATAGCTCCCACTGCCTTAAGAAAGTTCAAAACATCCTCAAAGATCCATCTCATCCTGGGAACCCCTTTTTTGAACTTTTACCATCTGGCAGATGGTACAGAATAATAAAAACAAGGACAAATAGGCTGAAAAACAGCTTCTATCCCAGGGCAGGAGCTCTTTTGAATTCTACTGTATAATGCAGTATTGGTGCAGTGTCGGGGGTTTCCGGTTCAATGTGTGGAGGGTGAAGGATGTGTGTTTGTGTTTATTTTCATGGTCATGATGTGCACTGAAGATGGTGTTTGATTTCTTTGTACCAGGTGCAATGACAATAAAGTAAACTAAACTAAAACAAAACTAAAACACAGTAGAAATATTTTATATTGTTCATTCCATTGAGAAAACAGGTAGGATATACCATATACAGAGCACACAAGGGTTGTCTACAAGATTGTGATCAAAACTGTACCAGATTTTTACATGTGTAGAACACATGATCTATGTAAAAAAAACAGGCAAGATTTCAATTCCACTACTGTGGCCACCATTTGCCTTTTTTAACCATATTCCAAGGCACCCCTAAAAGTACACTGGCTGGTTTGACACTCATGACACAAATGCATGAATGAAAGTACAGAAATGTATTTACGTAGCTTGAGATGGTCCTCATCCTTTCTACTGTGCAGCCTTGATATGGAGAATTACCCGGTCCAAGATACAATCAGTGAGATGAATGGGATTCAAATGTACTTATATTTGGCTGCATTATGTTGAGGATGGATGGATGGATGGATGGAAGGAAGGAAGGAAGGAAGGAAGGAAGGAAGAAAGGAAGGAAGGAAGGAAGGAAGGAAGGAAGGAAGGAAGGAAGGAAGGAAGGAAGGAAGCTAGCTCTATGCTACTTTATTAATTTGATGCTCTCTCTCTCCCTTAAATATCTCATTTTTAAAACTGTGTTTTTGTTGAATGATGTGAACTTTGCAGCTGTAAAAGTAATTAAAGTTAGAATATCAGGAGGCATGGCTGCTTGTTCATGAGAATGTGATAGTGTAAGAACTGACAAGCTAGAAGAGAGAAATGCTTAGGAATTTGATGGAGGCAAGTCACTCCATCCATGTGTTTTTCTCAGTCCCAGTCTGCTATCCATCATTCTCATCTCCCTCAGTGGTAATTTCCTATCTTGTTCTCTCCATTCCTTTCCTGATTACTTTGCATTTCTTGCCCTGTGTGTTTTACCTTTCCATTTCATACTTGTTTCCTCCCTCTGTGTCAGCCTTTCATTTGGCTGTTTTGGGAACAACATAAAGAAAAGAATAACAGAGTTGGAAGGGACCTTGGAGGTCTTCTAGTCCAACCCTGTGTTGACCCAGGGTGGGATACAAAACAAACACAGTCACAGAAAACAGGTAAAGCCCCTTTTATTCCTTCACTTTGCTTCCAAGCTCCGAAGATTCTTGACGGAAGACAAAAAAACTCCCACACAAACAGTTACAAGAAGAAGGAAAAAAGCAGCACAAACCAGGCAAGATAAGGGCTGGAGGGTGTCCACAGATAACACACACTAGGAAGGATGCCAAACTCAGAGAGGAACTAGAGATATTTCCATGCTTTGTTTCCAGCATTGCCCGTATGCATGTCTGTCCTCTTATTCAGTTGTCACAGCTGCAGCCCATGAAGAGGATCAAGGCCCTCTCCTCCCAGTAGACCACATCTCTCCCTTATCCTCTCCTCCCTGCGTGCCCTAGGATGGAGAGGGGATGGGCCTGGGTCCTCCGCTGACTGCTCAGCCAGCCTCTGCCCTTCCCCAGCCTCCTCCACAACCTCCGGAGCCACACTTCCACTCCCTGTGGGCTGTTCCTCCTCTCCCTCAGTGTCAGTCTCCACCAGAGGCATGACAAACCCCTCCTCAAGCAGGAGACTCTGTACTACTGTTGGCGAACCTTTTCGGCACTGGGTGCTGAAACGGGAGCACGCATGCACGTGTGGGGGAGCGCTGGAAACCAGAAGAGCAGCTCCCTGGAGCGCATGCGTACACCAGCCAACTGGTCTTCTGGTTTCTGGCGCACAGGCATGCATGAAGACCAGCTGGCCAGCATGCGCAACTTGAAGCTCAGCCTTCCATTGTGGATATGCACGCCAGGAAGCTGCTCTTCCGGTTGTGCAGTGCTCCTGCATACACGAAGACCAACTGGTCAGAAGAGCCATGGGCGATGGCCGGTGTGCCCGGAGAGATGGTTCTGCGTGCCACTTCCGGCACATGTGCCATAGGTTCACCATCATGTCCTTCTACCATTCCTGAGAAGTGGCTCTCCAGTCTCCTTTTTTAAAATCTCCAGTGATGGGGCACTCATAGCTTCTGAAGGCAAGCTGTTCCATTGATTAATTGTTCTCAATGTCAAGAAATTTGTCCTTAGTTCTAGGTCACTTCTCTCCTTGATTAGTTTCTATCTGTTGTTGCTTTTCTTGCCTTTTGGTGGTTTAGAGAACAGGTTGGCCTCCTCTTCTTTGTGGCAGCCCCTCGAATATTGGAATACTGCTGTGAATGTCTCCCCTAGTCCTTCTTTTCACTAGACTAGACATTCCCACTCCTACAATCGTTCTTCATATGTTTTAGCCTCCAGCCCCCTAAATTATCTTTGTTGCTCTTTTCTTCATTTTTTTTCCAGAGACTCCATCCCCCCAGAAAGCAATCACTACCCTCTGTATCATTCTGCTCTGACTTACCTCAGTAACTGTAGCAGTGGTGGGATTCAAACATTTTTACTACCGGTTCTGTGGGTGTGGCGTGGTGGGCGTGGTGTGGCTTGGTAGGCATGGTTTGGTGGGCGTGGCAGGGGAAGGAGACTGTAAAATCTTCACTCCCACCTCACTCCTGGGGGAAGGGTACTGCAAAACCCCATTCCCTCCCCACCCCACTAACCTGCTTTCCAGCTCCATTCTCCTGTGCAGGGCAACAAAAGAAGACCCAGCTGATCAGCTGGGACTTGGGAGGCAGAGAATAGATGGGGGCGGAGCCAGTCAGAGGTGGTATTTGCCGGTTATCTGAACTACTCAAAATTTCCGCTACCAGTTCTCCAGAACTGGTCAGAACCTGCTGACTACCACTCCCAAACTGTAGTAAAACAACTATGATCACATCAGGATCTAATTTAATAATCCATTAATGTGGGACAATGCCTTTTGGCGCTATATATATATATATATATATATATATATATATATATATATATTTGTTGTAATCTTGCTGAACATCTTTCACTGGGTAGGCAAATAACAGTGATCAAACAAAGCTTATTTGCCATTGCTAATTACCCCCTGCAATGCATTACAAAACATTCTGCAAGATGTTGAAAAGTTGCCTGGAAAAGTGAAGCACTCACAATAAGGCTCGCATACATAATGAAGGTAATCCTTAGCTCACAATTTCTGGAAACTTACCAAAATTCTACAGTGCTGATGCGTTTTTTTGGAAGTGAACCATATTACTCTATGGTAGCTGAAAATCAGAAGGAGCACCTTTTCAGACTAATACATTTTATTAAAAGGCATAAGCTTGCATAGGCTTACCCCAAGGGGAAAAGAAAACTGCCCCTTTGATCAATATGGATAGCATTAACCATATTGATATAAAAAAAACAATTGCTACCAACTTGACTTCCATTGAGGACCTGTATACTGCACAAGTCCAAAAGAGGGCTGTGAAAATATTTACAGACCCCTCACATCCTGGACATAAACTGTTTCAACTCCTTCCCTCAATACGATGCTATAGAGCACTGCACACCAGAACAACTAGACACAAGAACAGTTTTTTTTCCCAAACACCATCACTCTGCTAAACAAATAATTCCTTCAATACTGTCCAACTACTGTATTTACAAAGTCTGCATTACTATTACTATTACTATTCCCATCCTTCCTTTCACCCATCTCCTCCCACTTGTGGTGTGGAACCAGGAACAGGGAGACCTAGGATCTGTTCCATCCTGAATCCAGAAAGCTCACTGGGTGACTTTGTTTCAGCCCATATTTCTTCCTACAGCCAAATATAGGGAGTGCTTTACACACTGCCTTGATTCCTGAATAAAAGCTATGATAGAAATAGAAAAAAAATATCTGAATCTGAAGATCTCGGAAGATACAAACGTACACTTTGAAGGGCAGCTGACTAAGACCATCAAAGGTTTGGCAACCGTTATGGATGAAATACACATGGTTCTTAAGAAGGTAAAGCTCTCTGTAATTCTTCTGCAAAATTTCCTGAGAATAGAAAAACCAGACTGTCTTAATTGGGTTATTGCAGCTTTTCACTAATTCACTGTCTTCTCTTTCCATAGGATAATGTGAAGACTGAAGATAAAGATCAAACATCCAAAGAAAACGGAGCAAACTTATGACAAACATGCTGCTTGCTGGGAGAAAAAAAAATGTTACATAATGTAATATAAATCATGAAACTGGAGTGTATGAAAGTGATGCATGTTTAATTTAGTAGTATAAATACTTTAGTCCGAGCAAGGTTGTATAAAGTTTTATAAATGTGTGAGCCTGATTCAAAAGATTGCTTGTAATTCACAGCCCTCGGTTTGTTAGACACTCCTTGAGTGAAAATAATTTTGCATTGCAAAATGTTTTAGGGTAAACTTGGTTATAGCTTGAATGCTAATAAAGTTCATCAACTTCATGAAAAATAGCAAGTATTTAATTACAAAGTTTCCTTTTAAAATTTAGTGCAAACATTTTTCATTATTTATAGAGATGTCATTCTTAGGTTTTATTTCAGACTATTTAGGGTTTTTTAATTAAAAAAATTGGGTATATAAATCATAGCATGCTGCTTAATTTTGCCAGTAAAGATTTTTAAATACAAAAAAACAAAAGAAAAAAGAAATAGAAAAAAATATATACATCTCTCTGTCTACTTCAAGAGATTTTGTTCTTGCTATTCTATTTTGTGTTGGCATTTCTCACACATCTTTTCACCCTTGTTGTTCCTGCCAATTTTTCATTTGGCCTTGTCCCAGTGGGATTCAAATTTTTTTTACTACCGGTTCTGTGGGTGTGGCTTGGTGGGCATGGCAGGGGAAGGATACTGCAAAATCTCCATTCCCATCCCACCCCACTAACCTGCTTTCCAGCTCCGTTCTCCTGTGCAGGGCAGCAAAAGAACACCAAGCCAATCAGCTGGGACTTAGGAGGCACAGAATAGATGGGGGCGAAGCCAGTCAGAGGTGGGATTTGCTGGTTCTCTGAACTACTCAAAATTTCTGCTACTGGTCAGAACCTGCTGAATACCACCTCTATTTTGTCCCTGTAACTCTGGGGCTCTCTCACACATCTTCTTGGACTCCTCTCTGTAGCTACTGGTGACCAGGGTCTCTAAAGATCCAAGGCTACCAATAGTATCACCTTTTTCTTCAGAAGAAACTGGGCTCAGTGTATGAAAGAATAATGTATTTAAAACAAAGATAGAAGCCAGGGATATAATTCCAGGTTAGTTTTCTCCTTCATATACTAAGTTTTCGCTCGGAGAGAGTTATGTTAAATAATGATGATAATAATTATCAATTATCAAGCAACCGAGGAAGAAAAGATCAGCACCTATTTGACAAGATGATTTTGGAAAACTGCAAGAAAAGGGAGACCAACTTGAATGTAGCTTGGTTTGATTTCCAGAAGCCAGGCCACATGACTGGATAATCATGTGCCTAGAAATAACAGGAGTCAGTAGAAATATCAGGAGCTTTGGGCAAAGATCAACGGCACAGTGGAAGGCACAGTAGCTGGTCAATGGGGATAGACTGTGTGTCATTGCACAATCAATTGCAAAAGGCACCTTTCAATTAGAACAGCTTACATTCTGCAATGATACCTTTAATACTATTAAACAAAAAACATCCTTGAGAAGGACTGCACAGTGGATAAAAATGCCAAATCTACTCTAAACATCTGGCTGACTGTGTGACCAACCATAATAATAATAATAATGTTGTATTCTATAAAAATAGCATCCTCAAACTCCTCTCATTTAGAATAAGAATCTATTTTATAACCTCAGAACTTTTCATACGAATAGCAATAGCACTTAGACTTATATACCACTTCACAGTGCTTTACAGCCCTCTCTAAGTGGTTTACAGAGTCAGCATATTGCCCCCAACAATCTGGGTCCGCATTTTACCAACCTTGGAAGGGTAGAAGGCTGAATCAACTTTGAGCCGGTGAGAATCGAACTGCCAAACTGCTGGCAGCCAGCAGTCAGCAGAATTAGCTGCAGTACCGCATTCTAACCACTGCGCCACCACAGCTCTTTAACCTGCATCTTAGATGGTACCATGGCTGATGGGCCTAATCTCCTGGACTCCATTTCTGTGATTTTTCATCTAAATATTGCCACTCTTCTTTCATTAGTCTGCCCACGCACAGCGATATACCCAGTGCCCTTCAGCTATGTGGAATTTCGACTTCCAACAACTTATCCTGGATAACTGGTGGCCACCCTGCCTGTGAATGACTAGAAATTTCATTGCACGCATCTGGAAGGCACCAGCCTGGGAAGATGTGTTCTGCTTTCAAATTCTGCCATCTGTTTGTTGTTCCTAAAATACATGATTAATTAAGAGGGGGAGAAATCAATGTTCTTAGAGGATGAGTAATAACAATAATGGCAATATTTTATTATGTCATGAGCTTTGTGGGTACTGAAGAGCAGATGTTAAGGGGAAGGAGGTACATCCTTCCCTCTCCAACTCCCCCCCAAAATAAGCAGGGCGGAAGATAATTAGTCTTCTACCATAAGCACGATTTATTCCAAGGTTATTTACCCCAGAGCTTAGTCAGCAAATTACATAAAAAGAAAAGGAAAGGGTCAAAATTAGACGAGCACAAATAAATATATGCTGTTATCTATCTTAATATCTATCAATCCCCTGCTAAAACCTTGATTTTAATTACAAAACTCTGCAACAATGTAAATTATTAAAATATCTATCAGGAAGCAGAAAGTTGACATAGGAACAGTCTGATTGTCCAGGAACTGCTACTCCATGGAAAAAGAAAACATTGACAGAATTCCATATAATAAAACCCTTAATATAAAAGAAGATGCTTTGTTGGTTCTATCTCTTACGTGCTGCAAGGGAAGAGGTCTGAAAGTTTGCAATATCTACCCTGTAACTGTAGCAAGTGCTCGACTTATGTCCATGGTTGAGCCTGGAATTACAATTGTGAGTCATAAGGCAAAGTATCACAGGAGCGAACCTGATTTTTAAACTTTTTTTTTTTTTGTGGCGGTCATTAAGGAAATATTGTGGTTGTTAAGCAAACCCATTTTACCCAATTTTTTTGTTGGAAACTAGAAGTAAATGCCGAAAACTGGCAGAAAATGTCAAAAATGGTGGTCACAATTCTGCAGGATGATAGGTATGTCCATAAGGGCAAGCCAATTGCCAAATGCCCAAAATGTGATCACTTGGTTGTGTGCACGTGGGTGTGGCTTTGGGAGGAGTCCACTATAACTTTATGTGATCATTAAGTGACTGGTCATAAGTCAAAAACTATCTATAGTGGTTAAGGTTCCAGATTAGAAACCAAGAGACCATAAGTTCTAGTCCTGCCTTAGGCACGAATGCCAGCTGGGTGACTTTGGGTCAGTCACTCTCTATCAGCCCTAGGAAGAAGAAGACATGGGCAAACAGCTTCCAAAGTTCTTGCATCAAAAGATTTGGGTTTGGTAACCAGCAATTATCCCAAAGGTGATTTTTCAGGAGGCAACTGGACTTTCTGGTTTTTCTTTGAAGATGTTTCACTTCTCATCCAAGAAGCTTCTTCAGCTCAACGTCTTCAAGCAAAAACACGAAAAGTCCAGTTGCCTCTTGAAAAAGCACCTTTGGGATAACCATGACATGGATGACTGAGAACCTCCATAAACTTTTAACCAGAAATTAGTTCAAATTTGGGGCATTAAGTTCCAAAATTCAGAAGGTCTTTATCTTTGGCCAGGTTTAACGCCTCCCAAAAGCTGTTTCTACGGTATAGTATGCCATACCATCCTCTCCAATTTTTTTAGCTACTTTAGGGTGTGTTTCTCTTTTTTATTTTATTTAAGTGTGATTTTTGTTTTATTTGCTGGTCTATGACCAAATAAAACCTGATTGATTGATTGATTGATTGATTGATTGATTGATTGATTGACTGAAACTATAGCACAGCTCAGTTTAGCCTGATAAAGGTTGTGTAAAATGGTCTGAGAAAGCCCATAAAAAAAGAACTTCATCTTAAGGGACTTCTTGAGAAGAGCACTCCAGCAGACCAGTAATCCATTTAAGCCAATAATGAAATATTACTAGTCTAATTCTGGTTTTTACTCTGATCAGCCCTGTTTCTACCTAAGAGCTGCATTTGAGATACGCTGTGGAGTAGCAAATATGGAGTTACGGAATTTGGGCTGAACAGGTTCCAGAGACTAAAATTAGACTATGGCCTGATAGCTGCTCCAAATAATAGTTGTGTTAAAGCCTTGTGTGTGATGATATCGTAGAATTGATTGGTAGTTCATTGGGCCAGACTACAATGTAATCAGCTCAATTGTCTTGCACAGATCCATCCATGGTCTGCACCAACACCATTTGGATTCTAAACTTACGATCCATGGAACATTTCATGGGAATGTATCTCTAGGCACTAAACAAGAAAAACATGAATTCCATCAAAACTACGTGGCAAGAATCCTTTTCTCAGAACTACAAGTTGCACAGTTCCCACCAAAATTATCACGCAGGATGAATGGCATTTATCAGTTATCAGATATGTCCAAGAAAGAATTCAACAAAGCAGAATATAATAATACAGCATTTTTCAATTGTCAAGTGATCTAAAGAGTTCTCACTCACCACCCACGATGAACAGAAGGGGAAAAAAATCCATAGAACTGATTCTTTTTTTTCCTAGTGTTTATAGATCTGGAATATTTACATCCACATTTTTCACATAATACTTCATGGCGGCGTTCCAGTATAACATGCTTGTCAGAATGGAGGGCAGGGGAGAATATTACTGGATAGCCCTAACTTTTAGATTCTATCTATTTAGATCAAATTATATAATTGTTTTCAACAGAGAGGGAAACCTTATTCCTAACTTAATTCCCCTTTGTAGGAACAACTGTTGAGTATGCCACTGTAAGACTGGTTTGCACAAATACGTTATCCTACTATATCAACTAATCTTTGAGATTTACTAAAAGTTGATTCCAAGGTTTTGGAGGGAACCCCACCATGTTATAAACTTTGGCAATCTCATGTACTTTGGGCTGTTTATTTTAACCCCCAAGGATGCTATCTGGAGGAGACACACTTTCTGCTGGTCTCAGGATGTGGATCTCTGACTGAAACAGTAATCCTCCAAAGATTGGGACTCATTCATCCCCAGCTAAAAAAGTTCTTCAGAATGAATTCTGCCTGAAACCCAAAGGAGGCACTGCTCTATGACCATGAATGAACTCATGGTCCAACTATGTGTAAACTGGCTTCATCTGCTCATGTGATTGATGAGGTGAAAAATGATGGTATGTAACCATCAGCAAAGCTAACAGACATTACCAAGGGAGAGTGGAGTGGTGGGAATTTTCCTGTGATTGGCTTGGAGTAGTAGCCAATCTTCGGAGCTCTGTAGGTGGTCCTGCCAATTTCTGGCACTGCAATTATTTATGCCTTGTCCCACCTCCTCAGAGATTTTGTAAACAGATCATCTCTTCTTTCATTGTTAATCTCCACTAACCACCCCCCATGAGGTTCTTAGCAATAGTTCTTCTTCCTCTTAGGAAAGCGTTGCCAAGGCATTGTTTCTCTGTGTCCCATATTAGTTTCCAAAATAACATCTGCGAACAAGGAATCTGGATGGCAAACTCAGAGCAATCTCTTCTCACAGCTGGCTAGCAAGCGAGAAGCAACTAAGGTGCCTCTTACTAGCTGCCTAATCCCATTTGTTTTCCCATTTCTCTGATCCACTCTCAAGGCTGTGTATTTGGCTTCTGCTGCTAGCAATTGTCTTTCTGGATATTTTATTGAATCACATTGTCTTCAAATTATACACTTCATGTGCTGCTGCTGGCTGTTTTCAATTTGGCTACTATCAATCCTGAAAGCTTCCAGTCACCGGGCGTGAAGTTGCATCAGTTGCATAGCGAAGTCACTGATGTGCTGAATCTCTTCTTTTTTAAATAAAAGTGGCACCCAGAATCTGACCGAAATTGTTACGCTCCTAAGCTTTCTAAAAATATTATTCATTGTGCATTGATTACATTTCCATCCCACCTAAAAGTGGTCTATATTGTTCACCTCCACTCAGGTTTCACCTCAGAGCCACCCTTGCGAATTAGGTTAGGTTGAAATTAATCTAAAGTTCCTTAGAACAAGGATCTCCAACCCTGGCAACTTTAAGCCTGGCGGACTTCAACTGCCAGAATTCCCCAGCCAGCAAAACTTTGCTGGCTGGGGAATTCTGGGAGTTGAAATCCGCCAGGCTAAAAGTTGCCAGGATTGGAGATCCTTGCCTTAGGATCACCAGGCTAAGTGACCATTTCAATTTGGCAGATATTCCCAGCCCTGGCTTAGCATATGAAAAAGTAAAGCCCATTGTAGGAAAATCCCACATGCAACTGACTTCCATAAAGATAAGTTGGATATCTAGAAAGGGGTTAACGTAACTCTTAAGGAGTTACGCTCCTAATGAATTGCTCAAAGTAGCTATCTATTTCAGAGAGGGAGCAACATAAAAGAGGATAATCTAATTTCAGGCTGTCTAGGAAAGTTCAGGCAAACTATCAAAACCAGACGGGAAATCCCAAACACCAGAGAATTGGAGAGAACCAGAAGAATTCTCCCGCTTTTGGGCACTCAAGAGATACTTTATCCAGTGCATCGTTTGTATAAAAGCATCCCACCAGGGGACACACACAAAAAAAACAACAAACCTGACTTTGTACAGAGGCAACAGGCTGTTAGTATACATATGTGAAAATGAAAAGAGCACAAACCTCAGCGAGCAGTTGGTCAACCCTTCCCAAAATAGCTGTCTCCATTTGGTCTGCGGAGAGGCAGGCGGCCGGGAGCGGAGTGGATCTGTCCGCCTCCAAATGAGAAACCCTGGACTGCAGATCTGATGTCCTGAAGTACAGCAAGAGGCTCAGCACCAGAGAAAGGAAAGAGATCCCAGGCAGCCCCGAGTTCAGCAGCAGAGGTACCCTACAGCATCTTTCTCCATCTCCTCCCGTCCTGGGAGGCGCGAGGCTTAAGCCAGTCTCCAAGCGACCAGGAGCAACCCCTTGCCAGCTCTTCTCTTCTACCACCATTCCTTCCCTGGCCTGAGAGGCAATAAATAAATAAATAAGGAACAAATAAATAAAGCAGGGGGCTCTTCCTCTCAGACGCCCAGGATCCGAGATCCAGGAAACGGCACCACCATCCAAAACAAGCTCCCAGAGCCACTGAAGAAAGGACAGGTAGCAAACCACCAAAAATAAAAAATAAAAATAAAAAAATGGATGTAGAACCAAGTGGTGGGGAAGGAATGGATCTGTGTGTGTGTGTGTGTGTGTGTTTTCCCAAAGAGGGGAGGAAAAAAAAAAGTTCAAACTTCAGAAAAGTTCTTTTTAAGAAGACAGTTGGATCAAAGTTGCTGTTTTTGCATTTCTCCTTTAAAGCTTTTTTGATTGTTGCCGATTGTCCTCCTCCCGCTCTCTTGGTCAGATCCTGTGTGGAATAAGCAACAGTCGGTGCGTGAAGGTCCCCATTAGAGAGAGGTAATTCTCAACTGATTGCACATTGCAGTGTGACTGTTCCTGATTTCTCTGTAACATGACACTCTCTCTCACACACACACACACACTCGCACACACACAGGCACACACTCGCACACGCTGTCTCCGATGAGTTGGCTGCACGCTGTTTCCCAAAGCAAGCTCTCCTGTTCCCTCTGCAATGATTTATTTATTTATGCAAAACCGCTGGGTGGGATTTTGATTCTCTGGCTCCTGCCTACTGCAAAGCCCACCAGTCCCTAAAGTGTCGTTCATCAGTCCTTTGAAGAAGGACTTACTGCAGTCATTTATAGCTGCAAATAAGCCACGGTAAGGATAAAGGGGGAAAGGTTTAGGCTGCAGCAGGTCCCCTTCTCACAATCATGGGCCTGATATCGGGTTAGGTAAAATTACATGGCCACATCTGAATGTTCCTTATTGCCACAGAAGGCTTTAACACCTGAGATTTTAATTTTCTGACACCAATTGAGAAGTAATGAACTTTGGCCAGTGCATCTGCATTTTCAGTCTGATTTACCCCAAATGATTTACCCCATCTTTTGTATACTCTGCAATCTTTTGGCACGTTGGCATTTCATACCCATGAGGGAAATTATTAATCCAGACTCCAGCATTTAATGAGCAACACAGAGATGTAGGGTCTGCATTTATGGGGCTTTCTGCTGAAATCAGCATAAATATAGTTCTCGAATAAATTCTGGGTAAGATTAAAGAATGGATTCTCTGTTATGCTAACCATGTCAGGGTTCACAGGAAGATCCATAATCCTGTTCCAAACATTTCTCTGATCAAAATAATACTGGTAACTGCCAGCCTGCTGACTGATTTTACCAAAGTATAGCCATTGTATGCAGGGGTGGGATTCAAATTTTTTAACAACAGCTTCTGTGGGCGTGGGTTAGTGGGTGGGCGTGGCTTGGTGGTCATGTGACTGGGTGGACGTGGCTTGGTGGTCATGTTACTGGCTGGGCATGGCCAACTCAACATCACTCACATCGAGCCGTGCATCTCCTTACCTGGCCTCTCATGACTGTGGGGATGCTGCAACAGTCGTAAGTGTGAAAAAGGGTCATAAGTCACTTTTTTCAGTGCCATTGTAACTTTGAATGGTCACACCACACAAGCAAAGCACCAGCAAAGGAGGGGAAAAAAACTCCAGAGAAGTTCCTGAGGCAGGAAGTCTAGTCCTGCCAAGAATGTAATAAGGGTTAACGGAGAGGCAATTTCTGTAAGCAACACCAGAATGTTTCCTTCCTGCCTTCCTTACAGGATTAGGCCAGTAATTTCTTCTAACAACCGGTTCTCCGAACTGCTTAGAATGTTAACAACCGGTTTGAGCAAATAGGTGCGAACTGGTAGAATCCCACCCCTGATTGTATGCTTGGATAGGAGGAAGATGAATATACTGAATAGAGAAAGCTATTCCATGCATTAACAGATTTTTAAATGCAATTTATGCAGAGACAGATTGTGTATGTGGAATGACAGATTGTGGAATGTGACATAACCTTGGCACCTTTAACTTTAACTGGGTCCTAGTGCTTAGACCCGGATAGCGAACCTATAGCATGCATACAGAGCCATTTCTGCCTGCCTGTGAGAGGTCGCCCAGAAGAGCCCCACTGTGCATGTGCCCTCCCCACCAGCTAGCTGATTGTCAGGTATCTGCCGTAGATGCGCTGGGGGAGATGCGTGAGGGGAAGATGTGTGCACATGTGCAGGGGTAGGGTGCACGTGGAAGGGTCACACATGTATGCGTGGGGCGGGAGGGTCATGCATGCATTGCATCATGGGTGCAGGCATGTGAGCGTGAGCGCCAGAGGTGGAATTCAGCAGGTTCTGACCAGTTCTGGAGAAGCGGTAGCGGAAATTTGGAGTAGTTCAGAGAACCAGCAACTCCCACCTCTGACTGGAGATTTTACAGTATCCTTCCCCTGCCACGCCCACCAAGCCACGCCCACAGAACCGGTAGTAAAAAAAATTTGAATCCCACCACTTGCGAGCGCACTTTGGGCACACGATGTGGAAAAGGTTAGCCATCACTGACTTAGACTAAGTTGAAGCTACACACAAATGGCTTTCCCAATTGCCCACCAAAATTGTGGACATGGAAACTCAGTGAACGGTTTCTCCAAACTTCTCAGGCAGTTCTTCACTTTAGCAGTCACAAAAGCGCCATTACTCCCCCCCCCCCCACAAAAAAAGAACCCTCGAAAGGGGAAGGGGGAGAATTTATTCCTCAGGGTTTCACTTGGGTTTGACAGAAGTCTAAGAGAGCCAGAGAGGCTCCAGACTGCTGGGGAGATGTTTGTAAAAATGAAAGACAGAATGTTCATGTTCAGCCCTCGGCCACCTCACAATGAAATGCTTGCAGGAACAGCACGTTCCCTTCATCCAAATCTTGGAGAAAACCTCCTCTTTTGAAATAATTGCAATAGCATTGCTTTCCTTTTCTTTTGACAAATGAAATGAAAATGAAAGGAAATGTAGCAGAAGGCAAGGGAAGTAAATCATCACGGAGTTAACCGAAGGAAAACCTCTGTTGCCTACATTATTATTTTTTTGGCTTCAGTTTTTATAACTTTGGTGGTCTCCTAAAAAATTAGTTGAGAGATGTCCCCCAAACATGGAAATATGGGTGGAAATATGGCAGGAAGAGGTTAATAATAATAATAATAATAATAATAATAATAATAATAATAATAATATTCATCGCACAGTCAGCCAGGTGTTGAGACTGAGTTTGGCATTTTTGTCTACCTATCGGGTCCTTACCAAGGACCTGGGATAGGCAAATCTGGATGTTTGATGGCATTACCATTATTATTAATAATAATAATAATAATAATAATAATAATTATTATTATTATTATTATTATTATTATTATTATTATTATTATTAT